AAGCTACTAGTAACAAGTGCCACGCTAGTAGTAACAAGTGCCTTACTGGTAGTAACAAGAAGCTAGTAATTACAATTCTAATTATATTCTTATTGTTACTAGTAGTAAGGCACTTGTTCCTAGTAGCGATGCCAGGAGCCCCTAATCGCGTCTTGTTCCTAGTAGTATATAAGGCCAGAAGATCCTAATATACCCTAATATACCCTAATGGCTGTCCTTGCTACTAGTAGTAAGGCCAGGAGCTACTAGTAGCGTTCTTGCTATTAGTAGCGATGCCAGGAGCCCCTAATAGCTGTCCTTGCTACTAGTAGTAAGGCCAGGAGCTACTAGTAGCGTTCTTGCTACTAGTAGCGATGCCCTTTGCCCCTAGTAGCGATGGCCTCCAATTTGCTAGCTCTATAGCCTTGCAATTGCGCTAGGAATACATGGGCTGTGTCAAAAAGCCGACAACGTTCCCTTCGTCTGCCGCTTCGTGAAAAAAATTGGTTCGCATCACTGAGGTTTTTCTTTCTGCGGCTCTCCCGGGATATCCCTTGGAAGCCTTTCCCGGAGTTTGCCCGCATCTGGTATCAGGTGCCCGAATTGAACCATCAGACTATCTAATAGCGATGGCCTCCACACTTGAACCCTGTTTTGCATGTTGTGCATGTTTACATCTCGGATTTCGTGTTTCGTGTCTAGGACCGCCTCGAGATGTGTGTGGCTGCGCCGCTGCGGCGTGGCTGCCAATTTCCTCCCGTCCGGCGCCCTCAACATGAAACATTCAGAGCATCACGACCGGGTCAGTTCGTCACGACAGGATTTGGCGCCGCCAATGTGGATACTGAGCCTCCTTTTTGTGTATGCGTCGGGAAACCAAGCCACGGCTAAGTTTACAGTGCTGCTTTACTTCTCTTTACTTTTGCCATTACTTCCTCAAACCGGGTGGTCACGCTGACGTTGAGTGGGTAGGTTTGATTGGAACGTGATGTTTAGGGCTGGTCGCGAATTTTGAGTCAGGCAGTTCACTTCACTCTGTGACATGTAACGTTTAGTTTTCGGCTTGTCAGGCAGGGTTTCGATTGCAAGCTTCGAAAGGGCGCGGCAGACCTAATAGGTATTCTTACGGCAAGAGTTGCCGGGTGTGTGATCGAGGTGCTCGCCATGTGCGGCTAATTTACGGTTCACGAACTGGGAGCGGGCGCAGACCCAGAGACATCCAGACCTCTCTGGACCTCAAGACCTTTGAACCAAATGTTTCAAGACCTCTGTGGATCTCAAGGCCTCTAGACCTCTAAATCTCTTTGGCACCCAATACATCTACACCGGAGAAGACCAACACTTGAGGCAACAAAAATCGTGGCACACGATGTTAGTCTAGTTTCGGAGCGGACACCGTTCAGACTAACCTAGACCAAATTCAGATATGCCATGGTGGGCCGTACGGGTATTTGGCATGGTCTATGTTGGCCTCCACCAGGCTATGTTGACCTCTACTGGCGCGGTCTATGTTGGCCTGCGTTCAGTTTATAGTCAGATTGCAGTTGGTGCATGTTAGTGTCAGAGCCGATCGATCATACACTGAGAGTGGGAATGGTCCATGTTAGTGAGTGTCCGGAACTTTCCCGAAAAACGCAAATACCGTCTCCCCAGGAAGTCACCGTTCCCAGTGGCCCATATTAACTCGCACTTAAAATTGAGCTCTGGTCTATTTTCCCCGGAGTAGATGTTTAGTTTTTTATGACGCTCCGGTGTGCCGTTTGCTCCGCTCTTTGAGGCCGGTGAACGCGGCTCTGAAGCTTTATGCGCCTGCTGTGACGGTGTGTCATAATATGCAGGCGTGACTGTGGGGAGCGGCTTGAATGGAGCGCCGGAATGAAACCTCACACATTACTCTGCAAGCCAGTTTCAGGCGAAAGTGTGAAGGGACGAGGTAATTGCATCGCAAGGTGAAATACGGTGAACTAGGTTCTGCTAAGGCTTCCGGGGCAAGTTGTCAGTCCAAGAAGTAAGAGGCATCATGAGACATCTTTGCAATGGCCAGATATTTGAGAACCTCTTTGCCGTCAGCGTGTTGGCTGCAGGACTGAGTGTGTTGCAGAGTGTGGTCAGAGAACTGGAGTGAAGGTGATATCGCTGTGACGTGGGTTTCGAGCAGACTCCAATCAATTGCAACATCAATCGCAATTCCCAAGCAAGGCCCTAAGGCTGCTCTTCATTTGGATAAGCTTTGGGCACCCCAGGAGTAGGGCTGGTGCAGCATTGCTTTGGCCGCTTTGGTTGGAAGCTCAGAGCCCGATCTTTTGACGTCTCACGATTGTTTTTCCCAGCTGCAAGCGATAGGGGCTCACTTCTCAATGGTGTGGCTCTGGATCGGTGTTTCATTTTGCCCCGGTGGTGGTGATGGTGGTGGGGTAGTGCTGGTGGAGGTAGGGTGGTTGGCAAAGTGGTGGTATGCTGCGAGATGTCATGGCCGTATGCACCTTGGAGCTTGGGTGCTGTCGACGCTTCTGTCCATGGGGGTGTGCTTTTGGAGCTTGGGTGCCAATATTTGTTGCTATCTGGGCTTACGCTTGCGTAGAATTTAGATTTGCTCAGCCCACAAAAGAATCGTAAAGCTGTGTGCCTGAGCTTTAGAGCCTCTGCCCTTCCTTTCCTTTTCATGTCCTTTTTCATTTTTTCATTTCCTTGTTCTTGTCCTTTTTCCATTTTCCATTTTCCATGTCCTTTCCTTTCCTTTCCTTTTCTTTCCTTTCCTGGCCTTTTCTTTCCTTTCCTTGCGCTTTGGCTTTTCCTTTTCATTCCCTTCTCTTCCCCTCCCCTTCGCTTCCACTTCTACTTTCACTTTCTCATTTTCTTCTCGGGCGGACTTTTTGACAGTTACTTTTCATCAACCTTTTTTTTTCTTTGCGTTAGCTCCTGAGGCCCCTTGGTGGGCCACATGGGCTCAACAGCTGCTGCCATCACCTTGACTGCGCTGGGCCTTTGGTGGCAACCAGAGATCCTCCATGAGGCAGGAGGGCCGAGATAGCCGAGAGGGCCGAAGCAGTTGAGAACGCATTGGAGTAGACATTGATCCCAAAACAAAGCAAGGAAAGAACATGGCGGAAGAAAATGTGAAGAGAAGATGAACATAGAAAAGTTAGACAACGGGGTGGCCAGAAAGCACAGTAGGAGATGACTCAAGTTCACGGTGACGAGGAGGATGACGCGGATGATGGTGATGTCAATGATGATGATCACTATGGCGCTAATGCCAAGATGTAAAGTTAAGCCCCAGATGTACCTGTGCACTCATGAGAGGAGCTAAACAGGAGGAGCCACGCAAATGGACTTTCCACCGAGGCCGCACAAAACCGCATGGCGCAGCGACATCGGAAACGTAATATCGGCACACTGCGCCCCACACTAGATGCAACAATGTAACACCAAGGCTCGTTGAAATCCAGCGACGCGTCAGGTCTACGCACGCATGGTTCCCGTTCCCCAATGGATTTTCAAGCACCACTTTACATTTTGGCAACTTCCACCATTGATTTTCGACGGCTGTTCTACGCATTAGCAACTTCCAGCTTGTTTTCGAGATTTTGACAATTCTGCTCGTAACTTTAAGCCCCCAGAACCTTCAGGACACCAAATGCTATGTAGCTGAACATGCGGGGTGCCAAATGTTATGTAGCAGAACCTTTGGGCAACCAACAGTTATGTCATGTATATAGAAAAATTTCCAGGAGGCCAAATTAGTTATGTAAAAATTCGTAAAACTATGCAGCAGAACCTTCAGCAGGCCAATAAATATAGCAAAGTCGACAGGGGACCAAAAGCAGAATGGTCAGGAGGCCAGAAGTTATGCAGCAGAAACTTCAGGGGACCAAAAGGTATGCAGCAGAACCTTCAAGAGGCCAAAGGTATGTAGAAGAATTCTCAGGGGCAATGAAAGTATGTAGCAAAACCTCCCGGAGGCTAGCAAATATGCAGCAGAACCTTCAGGACTTGAATTTCTGCCCAGCTTGAGTCTGAATCTATTGAAATTATTGGCCTTAGGTTGGAGGCCATCGCTAGTAGGTAACAAGGGCATCGCTACTAGTGACAAGAACGCTACTAGTAGCTAGGGCATTACTACTAGATACTACTAGTAGCAAGGACGCTACTAGGTTGGAGCCATTGCTATTCCTTGGCATTGGTGAGCGCTTGAACGAGCCGCTTCGCCAGGGCTTTCGAGCGGGTCATCGCTTCGTGGGCATGACGACAGCCCACCTTTTACCCGGAGCACTTCTGTGCGCCCTGGTGGGGCCCTCAGGGTGTTCGGGCTAGTCATGGCCCCACGCTGTAAACTCAGTTGTTTTGCGTTGTCGTTGTTTACTTCCAATGTGAAAAGTACTATGAAGTACTCAGCTTTCAGCAAGCACAGAATTGGAAACGAGAGCACTGGTGAAAGCCACATTGAGAGGTGCCGAACTGCTTCAGAGCTGGACGAAGTGTTGCCGCAACACTTGTAGCGTTGTCGCTCTTTGCTGCTCAGATGGCATCCAGAGAGCAGATTAATTAATAGGGCAATAACTATAGCCTATAGCAGATAAACAAACATTTATTATTTGAGTTACAGAATGCTCCTAGTAGCAATGCCAGGAGCCCCTAGTAGCGTCCTTGCTCCTAGTAGTAAGGTCAGGAGCCCCTAGTAGCGTCCTTGTTGCTACTAGCGATGCCCTTGTTACTACTAGCTTTGTTTGGGTTTCCGCATGTCCGGTTTGCACCGCACTTCCTGCGCTTTCGGTGTCGCTTTGCCGGATTGTGGAGTCGTGTGCTAGGTCGATTGGCTTGTGACACTTGGCAGGATTAAAGACAGGATATAATAAGGAAAACGGAGCTCCTGGCCTAACTACTAGGAACAAAGGACACTACTAAGAGAAAGGGCATCGCTACTAGGAGCAAGGACGCTACTAGGAGCAAAGGGCCTCACTACTAGGAGCAAATTTTTCATTTAAGGAACACCAAGGACTTGAGTTGACCATGTGGTTGCCAGGCATGATATGAAGAACATGTTTGAATCTATGCTTGATTTCATGTCACGTTCTTGGCAAGCCACACCTTAGAAAGTTTCAGACATTTTCCTTCAATTTCATTCACTCAGGCTGCCGCCAACAGAGGCAGACCAGCAAAGCAGTGTGAAATACAGAGCTGTAGTTTTTGCTTGAGATTTTGAGCTGTAATTTTTGCTCAGGTGGTGGACGAACAAAAGCCCGTGACAGGCACCAAGTCAAGAAGATTCGGAACTCTTTCACGAAAGCTGTAGTGCAATGACTTGCTACGGCTTGATGTATTTTGTTTGTGAAAGACAGAGGACGCATGCAATGAATGCAATGCAAGGATTAAACCTTCTTGAACCGTTTTCTTTATCACAGCTCTATGACAATGCCCCGTCAGTGGCTGAAATGGTCTTCTCTCCGTACAAAGCTGGGAGCTTTATTCTGAGCAATTGCCTTCATGCAGTTGGAATAGTCGGCTCCTCAGTACATGAAGCCTACTGCATAGGAAATGTTCGAACGAAAGCAACTACAGTGCGGGAGGGTGTCAATTGATAGTTTGACTTATCGCTCTATAAGTTGACTGAGTGTAGTTGCCACACAAAGAGTAATTGTTGTATTTAGCCAAACTTTGGCTCTGAATTCCTTTCACATTGGAAGTAATTATCTCAATCAGCATGTTTGATCCAAGTAGTATATTTTACAAATTGCTTTAATTTATTATAATCCTGTACACCGAGGGGTCTTATGACAGTGCCAAGCAAAATTCTAAGTCTTTCAACGTCGCCAATATTCCCCGCCGCTTTCTCCACTGCACTGACTGTGATGTTAGGTTAGCAACACTTGTTTTTGTGCAAGTTTTGATGTGATTTGTGGCCGAAATTGTTGTTGTGGATCAAAAGCGAGGCGCTGCTTCTGAACAGCATGGAGAAAGAGCGAGAAGCGGCAGAGTCTACCAGCTGGTGGCCGAAGCACATACGTTCAGATGTGCATAGACTTGGCATCGGATTCAGAGAACACAATAGGTAACGAGAATCCAAAAAGAAAGTAACGGCCATCGTTCTTAAGTTGGAGGTTCTTAGGTTGGAGGCCATTTTTCTTTGGTTGGAGGCCATTGCTACGAAAGTAACACCCGCCCTTTCCTTTTGACATTTTTGTCCTCAGTCTCAGTTTCACCGTTGCTTCCAAAAATTCACACTGCTGTTGCCAATAGGTGGGTCCTGTTGGCGTCCAGGCTTTCTTTGGGTGCCTTACCTGCAATTGTAAGCCGGGATTCTCTCCGAACACTTGTCCATGCTGTTCAGTCGAGGGCGAAGACCTTGATTTGCTTTACCTTGAGGCATCAATTTATCGAATATTTTTGTGATTCATTACATTCGTATCTTGGCAGGAGCAAGGACGCTACTAGGGGCTCCTGGCATCGCTACTAGGAGCAAGGACGCTACTAGGAACAAGTGCATCGCTTCTAGTAACAAGTGCCTTACTACTAGTAACCAGAAGCTACTAGGAACAAGTGCCACGCTAGTAGTAACAGGTGCCTTACTAGTAGTAACAAGGACGCTACTAGGAGCGATCGGACGCTACTAGGGGTCTGAGAGTGCGGGGTTAGCATGGCGACTGCCGGACGTCGGGGTCAGCAAGGTGGGCGGCTCTTGTTGATGCCCATCGAGTTCCATCACATTCATGCGCCTTTGAGACAACTTAAGAGCAATGGCCTCCATCCTCCAACCTTCATGCGCCTTTCAGACCCCTTTTGAGACTCATTGAGACTTCAGATTGTCAGATGTGGAACTGGTGATTCGATTTGTTTGGGATCGGTGAAGGTGATGGGCTACACTTTATGGATTTGGCTGTCCGCCGTATTGGTGTCAATTGTGGTCTACTGCATGGTTACCCCGTGCCTTGGCTCGACGGATGGCTCCTGGCCTAAACTACTAGTAACAAGGACGCCCTAGGCATTTTATGCGTGTTGCCGCTCAAGGTATTCCTGCTTGGGTGATGCTGCGTTGAAGCGCCTGGCTGTGACCAGGAAGGAGCATCTTAAAAAAAGTTGCGAGCAAAGCCGAAAACCGTAAGTTGAGACACGAAGATCTCCCAGTGGAAGTTGAGACGAAGAGGTATCCAACCTACTAGCGATGGCCTCCAACCTAAGAGCAATGAGTGGACAATGTGCAGAGAGGAAGAGTTCTACCGCTTAGAAGGGGCAGCAGTAGAATTTGGAGCCGCGTGGGGTAGGGCTTGATGAGGTTTGGTAAAGATTTTTGTAAAGAAAGTATTGGAGAGGGAGAGAAGTCTCGAATCGAACGGTAAAGATTTTGGCCTAAATTATAATGTAGCGGAATTAAATTAGAATTATTGAGAACTTCAGGTATAGGTCCTTTTGTACCCGCGAGTAGGTTGCATTAATTCCAATTTATTTAATTCCAATTCAATCTAGTTTAGTTTAATTCTATTAGCTTCTTCTTACTACTAGTAAGGCACCCGTTACTACTAGCGATGCACCTGCTACTGACGTGGAGATGGCCGGATCTACGCCGCACCCGATGCATCGGACGTCGACCGGACGGTTCACTGCATGTTGTCTCAGACTCAGCTCGTTGAGAAATGTAAAGCCGAGTTCATGAATTTCAGCAACGCCAATTTCTTCTTCATTTTAGATGCAAAACTCGTTCCAGGGGAGGTTTGGTGTCCAATGGTGTTCAGTGTTCATCACCCGTTTGACTCATTTTGACTCCGTTCCGCATGCTCAGTTTTTCAGTGTTCAGTTTATATTCTGAAGTCATCTGCACTTTGAATGCCATGGCGCAAAAGAGGCGGCAAAGTGACGTCATCACCCCAGATAGGAAGCGGCGAGCTCAACGCCTGCAGACTGCAGCAGAGAAAAGACGGCGGCAGCTGAACCAGCCAATAGCCGCTGCCCTTTCATGTGCAAGTTGGTTTCCCAGGCATGAAGCATTCACAGACCCTCGAACTCCAAGTAGGCCATCGCTCTTGGGGTGGAGGCCATCGCTAGTAGGTTGGAGGCCATCATTTGTACGTGAAGACGTGCTCGCCGGATTTCGAAAACTATGCCCAACCAAGTCCTACCTAGCTACCACACCTCAACCTACCAAGTCCTCAGGAATCTGACCACCCAGATCATCCAAAGCGATTGAATGCCTGCCTTTGTGGACCGGGTGGTGAGGGATGCGAAGCGAAATCAGCGGGGCAGACAGGTCCTTAAACCTAGCGGCCTCCAAGGCCAGGAGCCCCTTTCATAGCGTCCGTGCTCCTAGTAGTGATGCCATGCGATGCCCTTTGTTACTAGTAGCTTCGCACTTTGTTTTCGTATTGAATCAGACTTGAGAGTGCAGGAATCACTGGCCGTGGATTGTGGCTAGGAACCCTGACAGTGGCTGATCGCTTGGCTACAGACGAGGAGCTTTACCTTGCCCACCAACGGGCACATGTGTCAGGTCTTAAGCGGGCCGAGAAGGCGGCACAACCTGAAGAGGAAGAGGAGGACACGGAAAGGAACCTGGGCAGCGTGATTTGGCTTCCGCGAGCTGGTCATTTAGTCACATGGCTGGGAGGTCTATATTATTTTCGTTCATTTAAGTAATCGTTAGGTTTGTATGAATTTTGCCAATCGTGCTCGGGGCCTACGGCCATGTCGAAATGTCTTTCTATAGCCAGAAACTGTTTTCTAGTTGAGCTTGAGAGCTATTCCAGTTGTAGTAGAAGGAGTGATGGAACTGTGCACAAGATGAAGCCTAGAGAGCAGAGCTGGCAGAGAACATTCCTAGACTGAGAGTGTTGCCAACCTAAGACTCACAGAGCCCCTAAAGTTCAGATTTGTAGCTGAGGCTTTTTGAAGAACTATGTGAATAGTGACGTGTGAGTCATTTTTGCTAACTTTTAGAACATAAATTCAAATGAGAAGAGGTGGAGAGATCGGTGGAACATGCTGAGCATTCCTCTGAGCATTCACACCTAGCAGACCCAGTAGCTTCTTGTTACTACTAGTAAGGCACTTGTTCCTAGTAGCGATGCCCTTTGTTCCTAGTAGCGATGCCCTTTGCTCCTAGTAGCTTCTTGTTACTA